TTTTTAAAAATAATATACAGAAATGAACTTCTATTCTTTTAAAAATCACATGCAAAATTGGTGGTTTAAGAGGTCCCACACCATACAAATAAAAAAAAATACCTCTGGTTAGTTATTACATGTTTTCTTTAGGAGACCCAAACCAAACCAAACAACAACGTTTGCGTTTTGTCATTTTGGACTCTGTCAAAAAATAAATTGTTTTTCCAAGAAAAAAAAAATCAATTCACGTCTGTCCTACCAAAAAAAAAACCAATAGGATAAATAATTAGTGTGTATGCATTGATCATATCACAAACTTTTTTCAGATTTCAAAGTTAAAGAATGCCTCAAAAACACAACACTAAAAGCAGAACCAAAGGAAAGGAAATAGCCGATTTTGCTGGGTAAGTGTTTTAAGGATGGTGATGGTGGTTATCGCCTGCCACTTGTCATCACTCTAGTTTAACATTAAGTTAAGTTTGGATGGAAGGTCTGTGTTCAGTTCGTTATGAAAAAACTTGTCAATCTTGACTAAAGAAATACAAATAAGGAAATTGTTTGGATAAAAAACTATGAACCTTTCTTATATATATGTATATTATCTTTAGTTTTACAAATATATTCAAATTTTTAATTGAATTTAATTGGATAGAATTAAGAGTGATTATTATTTGGTATATATATTTTAAAAAGGAAAAAAATAAGAATATTATTATTTATGATGATCTTATGCCGTGATCCATTTTTTTACATATTTTTTTTTTGAGAATTGCTATTTCTCACCGGTGGTGATTGTCACCACCTAAGGAGTTTAAAGAAAGGAAAGAAGAATATGGAACCTGTTCTGTTTGTGCAAGATATAATACTAATTACCAGTGGTGTCAATCCATCAGGAAAATGGGTACAAATATTATGTGTATATAATACACAATTGCAGGGAATAAGCATATAATATGCATACAAATTGCGTATTTTTTTATGTATGCAAATTGTACATATATTATATGCTTAATCCCTGCAATTGCATATTATATACGCATAATATTTGTACCCATTTTCCTGATGTTATGTGATCCCAAATTGTTGGCTCAAAGTTGGAGTAGCATTGGTAATGAAAAATTGGATGAAATAATCAGAAATACACAGCTTGAAGCAAAAGGATTTGATAGTTATCATTATCTTGAATGGATTCCTTATGACCAACTCACAGTTGGAGAAGGAGTAGGTGAAGGTGGTTTTGCAACTGTGTATAAGTGTTACTGGTCAAATGGTCCTAGATATGTTAAATGGGGCCAAAGATATTATTGTGTAAATGGTTATGTAGCATTAAAAAAGTTTAAAAACTCACAAAATGTTTCTGAAGAATTTTTAAAAGAGGTAAATAATTTGATGTAATTAATTAACAATTAAAGACTTTTAAATAATATATTAATTTTTTATTAAATTTCATAAAGCTTCAAAATCACATTAAATTTATAGGGCCTTATCACAAGGGTGTTGTTAATATTTATGGCATTTCACAAGATCCAAATACAAAAGAATATGTTCTCATAATGAGATATGCAGACAAAGGAGATTTTAAAAAATATTTAAAATCAAATGATACAAGATGGGATGATAAAATTGTAAGACTTTATGACATCATCTCAAGTTTAAACACATTTCATCAAGAAAATCTTACACATGGTGACCTTCACAGTGGCAATATTTTATATTTTGATTATTTATCCCAGGCAATGATTACAGATTTAGGGTTATCAGGTCCAACTAATCAAAAAATATCAAGTAAAAATGGTATAGTTGGAGTACTGCCATATATTGCACCAGAGGTATTAAATAAGAAACCTTACACACAAAAATCTGATATCTATAGCTTTGGGATCTTAATGTCAGAATTATCAACATGTCAACAACCATTCAAAGATCAACCACATGATCTAGAGCTTGCTATCAAGATCTGTAGTGAACCCTGAAATAACAATGCCCAATTAATATTAATTTGTATAATATCAAAGAAGGAATATCAAATAGAAAAGCTATAATGAAAATAATGAATCAAAAAAGAATTGTAACATCATTTAATAGAATAAAATAATGGATCAAAAAATAAAAGCTTTTAACCAATTGACCATTTGGACAGAAAATCAAAAAAGTGTATACTTATTAAAAAATTAAACTATGTTGATAATAAAGACCTTTCCCATCTCCAAGGTTATCTGTTTTTTACATGCGGATACTTTTTTAAAACAATTTACGCAAGTCCAAGACTGAGGTCATCTGACCAAACTTCTGTTTTTTATAACAGAGATCATAATTGGTGAAAACAACAGGCCTTTTTTGCTTAATAGAAAAATGAGTAAACGACTTTTAATTAATACATAAAAGCAATTATAATAAAATTTTTATTTTTGATAATCTGCAAAATTGCCAAGTACATAAATAAAAATCAGAGTTTTGGCAGATTAATTCATTCTACCTTATTTTTAATATTTTTCACATGTTTATTTTTTAAAAAATGTCTATTATATTGATAAAACATTATATTTCATTTCTATTACTTTTGTAAACAATCATCCATTAATTCCTCAACTTTAACCTGACCATTTTGAATCTTTTCAATCATCCTGATCAAGTCATAATTAATTTCCTGAGTAACGACAGAATCTTGATTATATTTTGGATGATTTTGTACAAAGTTTCTCATCCATTTTGCTGTTGTTTGCAACTTACCTATATAAAAAATATTTTACGGAATGGTTTTTTTAAAAACTCAATCATCACCAAAAGAAATTTTTTTTTCATAAGTAACATACCTTCAGCTCTTTTACTAACAAATCTTAGATATTTTCCTAGCATACATCTAGATTCTATGTCTACATTGATTGATTCTAAATATCTGAAAATTAATGAGATCAATCCAGGAAATTTGTCCTAAATTTTTTTTTTAATTTATTTATTTTAAACAAGTATTGTAATAATAAATAATAATAAATAAATTCAATTTTAAAAGACTTACATTTCCATTAAAAATTTCATTGATGGTCATTTTTTGATATTCATCATCTATATTGTCACTAAAACTATTACAACTATGATTATTATCATCATTACCATTTTTGTTGTCATTATTATTATTATTATTATTATTATTATTATTATTGATATCATTAATCATACTACTAAAACTATTACTATTAATATCATGACCATTCATAAACTCATTGTCATTATTATTGTCAAAGGATGAAACATCGTTGTTTTTAGTGGAAGTGGTAGTAGTAGATGATGATGATGATGGTGATGATGATGATGATGATGACGATGATGATGAAACATTATCTGTATTATATAAGGTATTTTCTGATGTGTTGTTCAGTATTGGTGAATTTTCTAATAAAGTTGTTTTAATTAGAAAAAATAAAGTTCCTTGATTAATTCTCAGACTTTTTTCTTTAATATACAAAAAAACCAAAATGTTTACCATTTTCCAAAATGTTTTTTCTAAACCAAAACTTTTCATTTAATACTGCATCTTTATTATGAGCTATCCTCATATTCTCATCAACCTTTTGAATAATTTTTAACAAAACATATCAGTGAATAATAATATTATTAATAGATCAGAGAATCAAGCATGCAATAATTTCAGTTATTCTTGACATAATCAGTGCATGTCGATGAATTCAACAACTGGTTTAGGCATGCCCCCAATTGAAATTATATAGCATGTTATATATGTTCATAGTAAGAATATAAATAAAAAAATGTCAAATACTTATGAAATAGGAATATAAAAATTTAAGTTATAACTTAAAATTATCCTAGTCAACAATACAATAAATATTGCAAAAGCAGCATTCTCAAAATCTGTTATTTGTATCTCCATACTACGAAATTCCACTCTCCAGCCTATATTTGAATTGGGTGGTGGTGGTTTGAATCTCATAGTTTGCCAATTTGTTGACTGTATGTTCTGCAAATTTACATTAATATATATATATATATATATATATATATATTGATTACTAATCT